AGATCTTGAAGAAAGTCAGATTGCATTTATATACTAAATTTAGGTTGTTAGATTTGGCCACTTACATATTTTTCTTACAGCATGGAAGCAGTTTAGAATAATTCTCCTATGGTTAGGTTGTACTGGCTGGTTTTAGATGATTGAAAAGTGATGAATAATTGTTGTATTATATCAGTTTGATATTTGTGTTGTTTTTTAATCCTTACAACATCCTTGAGCTCAGTTATGATGTCTAGGATACTAGGGCAGTGTGTAAATGCCCTCTGTATCAAGGACTTGAAAGTAGAGTTTTAAGCAGTGTGAATCCACTGAGTTGTAAAGAATTAGAACTGGCTGATGTGTAGCTTTATGATATATGTTGATAGTAAGTTCACCACCCCTGCATGTGCTGGAAATGTCCAAGAAAATACAAATGGACCACTTTCCTAATCCAATTATAGGAGCAGACCATAACGGTTGTCATTAATTTTTCAGAGAAAATGTAAATCTGGTTTTTATGCATTAGGATGAAGATGCTATCCATATATCTAACATATACTAGAATGAGATGGAATTTCAGTAGTATTGCATTTTCTAGTTGATGGATGACAAGTTCACTTTGAATTCCTGATATGGGACTGCCCATGGAAACACTTTTGTCTCAAATGTATACTTTATCATATGTGAAAATTGATGAGTAACAAACAAAGTATGCAAAGTCTAAAATATGCTTATAAAATCTATGCTGCTCCTATTTTGATGATGAAGAAATCTTTAATTTTGAAAAGATGATGATGATAATCTGAGTGAAACATCTTTTATGAAGACAGTCCCTTATATTCCAGTAAAGATCATTGTGAATGTCAATTTATGTTGTGATGCATTAGTTCTTTCTTAGTTTTTTCTTTGCCTACTTCATTTTCTTCCAAATAGCTAATGCCAATCTACTTTGCTTTTTAGTCTTTCTTGTTCTCTCTCTACTTTTGATTCGAGATTATGAATTTTATTTTGTTTTTTCTCAGACTATGTAATACTATCATCTAGATTTGCATATGCCTGAGGGAAAAACGTGTTGTCACTAAGGGTAATTTTGTGATGATACAAAATACAAAATTGGTAATAATATATACAAATACATCAATCTATCATGACTAATGATTGCTGAACTATAATTGAAATATTTTTCTTGTAAAGTTTTGCAAATCAAAAAAGTTATTAATGATAAGCTTATAATAAATATAAAATTGTTATTTACAGGAAAGATTGAACAAAAGTGAACGCCAAAGATTTCGTGAAGAAGCAGAAATGTTAAAAGGCTTACAGCATCCGAACATTGTCCGATTTTTTGACTACTGGGAAGTAAATACAACAAAACGAAAATATTTAGTTTTAATTACCGAATTAATGACAAGTGGAACATTAAAGACGTAAGCAAAAATGAAACTGTTTTGATTTATTGATTTGATATTCTACAGGGTGTCCCAAAAGTTTCCATACAGTGACACAAATCAAGCCCACCAGTGGCTGAACAAATAAAACCATTGAATACTGGTAGTTGGTCATTGGTTTGTGCCTGACCACCATGTAGTGTTCTAGGTTTTCTTCAAGTGTCTAACACCTAAACAGAATCCAGTTTCCACATAGGAAGTCCTGCTAGAAGTTACCCCATTGGCAGATCATCCATGTGTTTTGTTGCCTTTGTCAATCCACTGACACAAATCTTAATGCTGACATTTTAATGTTTGTGAATAGTTACATTTCACCTTTGTATGTATGGAAACTTTAGGACACCCTGTATAGTAGAATTTTATTCTATTGAAAATTTTTAAAAATTTTGCAAACATTAGGTTGGTATCATTTTAGTTTAGCACATTTGTGTATATTATGGAACTATCAGATAAATTAATTTTCAGTTTTATTTATATACTATATTTTTAGTAAATATATAACAAATTGTTGAAAATGGCAATTTAAGTTTTTGATTTTTCAAAATAAAAATTTTACACATAAATGACATATCCTGCATATCTTATAATGTTCACAATTCATACTGATACACAGAGACAGATTCATTTCTTAATTGTTTTAATTCATTTTATTAATTTATGTTAATTTTAAAATTCTTAACCCTTATATTATAGTATCTGATTTATATAATTACAATGGTTATCTTACATAAACGTTTATTGCACCAAGTGACCAAGTTAACATGTAAAAAATTCTTTAAACTGTGTACAGTAGAGGAACAAAGAATTTTAGAAATGTGTTAGATTGGTCACTTGGAGTGATAAATCCTTATGTAAGATAACATTTGTAGTTATATAAATCAAATACTATTAAATATTATATTATAGTATATAATGAACATTAAAACGAAAACCATATAAAGAGTTTGGTTATTTTAACTTACATTGTCATATTTATTGTCATATTTATTATGATACTCTGATGTTATGAAATGGCACAGTTTCATTGATCAAGTAGACTGCAATTGATATTCTAAAAACTTATATCTTAATTTGATATCTGAAAAAATATAATATCTTAAATTTTTTAAGATATGATATCTTAAAAAATTTAAGATATTATATTTTTTTCTAATGTTACTTCTAACAAACTGTTCCATTCACAGCTGAATATCAAACAGTAGTCTTGCAATAAATCAAATTTCACAAAAAATAGACCAAATATTTAAAATTGGCATCCTCAAAAACCACTTAAAACATATTTTGTGCTCATTGGTAGCCTTGTATTATGTAATTTTTCAGTTTGAAACCCATCATACCACTGGGTCCAATAGGAAGAAGGGAGTGTTGAGGAAGGGGGTTGAAGTTGATTCAATAAAAAGTAGTAGTTGACCTCCTCCAGGAAGAGAGTATTGTCAACAACTACTAATTAATACTGGTCAACTATTAATGTTTGAAAAGTGATTTGTGTTGAATAGTTGTGATGGGCCCATATGTGATACAAGTTGCTACTGTCCATTAGACTTCATATAAGATTTGTTAGAATAAAACAGTATTATATAAATAAGCAATTACCTGTGGTTACAGGTAATTGCTTATTAACAGCATTAATTCTCTTGTAAACTAATGTTTTTTCCACCTTTTACTGGTCATTATCAGGTTTCTATGCTGTGGAATGTTTGTAAAAGAACGCATCTTCCAAAAATTCAAAAATTGCACGTCTTGAAGATACGCACATGCTCAATGTTGCTCTTTAAAAAATGAGTCTTCAAACTGGCTTCCTATTTTAAAAATTCAATGTTTATATAAATTATTAAGATAAACTTGATGACGATGTATTTTACAACAAAATACGCCCTCCAGGCAGCTGCCATCGAGTCCATTTCTTTAAAATTGATGGCTGTTTCCCTCTTGAACACTAAATATCTCTGGCTGTTTGAGATATTTTAATTAAATTAATATATAATAAAACAATATTGTAAAAATGCAAGAATAATTGCTTTTATGTGATCCCATAAAAAAATAACTNCATCGAGTCCATTTCTTTAAAATTGATGGCTGTTTCCCTCTTGAACACTAAATATCTCTGGCTGTTTGAGATATTTTAATTAAATTAATATATAATAAAACAATATTGTAAAAATGCAAGAATAATTGCTTTTATGTGATCCCATAAAAAAATAACTGATGAAACTAGATTGAAAAAGTAAAACTCAACAAAAACATCTAAGTAAAGGAAACTTCTGAAAGTTATCCTCTTTCAGTCTTGAGAATGGCATTAGATAGATGAACATTGAGACCAGATATGGAATGCTTAAGAGCAGGTGGACCAGATTAACTATATAAGAACTGTGAAGTTATGAATGAAAATACTGTTTGCTGATGAGGGTGAATATGTCGAACAAGGAACCATGCACAGCAGATGGCGGAAAAAAGTATTTATTTACAGATTCTGATGGATTCCAACTCTAAAACAGTATAACAGGTGGTCATTCAAAATCCAAAATATCGACAGGACAATTACACAATTTTGCGAAGAATACAAAGGAGCTGAGCTTGAGTAATACAACAAGAGTTTTCTTATAACTAATTCTTAAAGACTAGCTTATGCTAAAGGGAAAAAGAGATCAAGGGGTATAGGCAAGAAATAGCAAGATGGCTGATAGAAAAGAATAGAATACCTGGTATGTACAAATGTTGTTTAGCTTTCATTTGGAGCCACATGGAACTTCTGTAGACTCACTTTGAGCTTCTGTTTTCCTTTTTTCTATATCCTAGATTCACTACACTGTCACTTCAATAAGTTTATAAACTTTTCTTACTCCAGTTTAGTTTCACTCATTTCTTGGATACTTGATAGCACTAAGCACTATCTTCTTTGTCCTTACTCCACGAAGACCAGCCAAAAAGTGTCCTACACTCTCCACACATGTTCTCAAGTAACATCACTTTCATTGTTCTTGTGATTTCATGAAGTGGCTCTCACCACCTAGGGAATAGATTAAGATTAGTAGGTTCTAGAAGTAAGAAAGGACAAAGGACATAGGAGAAATGCTAAAAACTACAAACTAAACTAAAATTATACAATGGTGTACAGCCACAGAACATCCAATTTGCATCACAAATTACATTATTTCAATACAAAAATTTTTCCCTGAACAGAGTTAACATAACTGGCATGACTGTTGCTAACAGGAAAAGTATGATGTCAGCTATTTTGTCCCTGCTCTGTAGGTAAGTAGTGCCCTCAGTTTCAAAGAACAAGTGGCATGTAAGACAGTCCACCCCAAAATAAAGTTGAGGTGTCTGTCTAGAAGAGTTCTTAATAGTAAAGTTTGATGATTTTAACTGGGTGTTTTTGGATTTGGGTGGTAAGTGTGTTAAATACAACCAGTTTGATTTGGTGTGAGTGTACAAATATACAGTTAATGTATATACAATGAAATAAAATTATCGTTTATAATATCTTATTATGCAATTTTTAATCATTACAGCTTTATATTAGTTATACAAATATTGTAAAAATTGTTTTGATAATTTATTAAATTTTTCTAGTTATTTACGTCGTTTTAAAAAAATTAATTTGAAAGTGCTGAAGTCCTGGTGTCGTCAAATTTTGAAAGGTTTAAATTTTCTTCATTCTCGATCTCCACCCATAATTCACAGAGATTTGAAATGTGATAACATATTTATTACTGGTACTACTGGATCTGTTAAAATTGGAGATCTTGGATTAGCAACATTGAAGAATCGATCTTTTGCTAAAAGTGTTATTGGTGAGTATGCAAAAATCTATTATGCAACTTTTATTTTTGTGGAAAAGCAAATTTAGAGTAATGACTGTTTTCATTATATGTAATGAATAAGTAGTTATGAAAGTAATACTCTAAAAGTAAAGAAAATATAATCATTTTAAGTATGAACAAAATATAAAATTGCAACATTTAACAAAGAAAATACTTTGCTTCTGTTTATCATCTGTTGTTCACTCCAGTTGACAGTCCACAATTTCACAAGTACGGAGACAACCTTTCTTTTGAGGCTACTGCCTCCACAATAAAATGCAAATATGGTAACAAATGTCCTCTGGTGCTGTCGCCACTTTCACATAAAATACATGTTTAAGTAAGTATAAAATATAAATCATGGCCAATAGTATTACATTTAATTATTGACAAGACTATGTCTTGTTTATAAAATCGTACTTCCTGCTGTGTATGAAGCTTAGAGGTATGAAGGAGTACATGTCAGGAGTTGCAATTTGGCACGGAGTATTTGGTGCCCAAATCATGCGCGCATAAAAAAAACCAGACTTGGAGGTACTTGGGACCGAGAACCAAGTCAAAATGAAATACAAAATGGCGACTCTCTCTACAAACAGGCAAACCGAAGTCAGGTGGTGAGAGTACCACCCACAGTCATTCTAAGAAGTGGACTCTGACACTAGGACTGAACACATAGTATTTTCTTTGTTAAATAAAATTTATAATCTAATTTTGTAAATTTGGGAGTGCTTCAAATATGACATTAAAACAGGGTTTTATGTCGTTACAAGTAGGTTTTTTAACATTATCTAGTATAGTAAAATCATGGGACCGATAAAAATTTCATGTTATATTAGTGTCATTGTTACATTCAATGACATTATAATTGGGTTAAACTGTATATTGTCTGTGCAAAATAAAAAAAATAATTTTGAATGATACAATAGCCACAATTATTTTTTCAAAAATGGGAAATTTTCGTTACACATCTACAAAAATTCAACCTGGGCAGATATGCAACGGAGAGAAATTTCGAAATTGGATAGGTTAATTTCATTGAAAATGCATCGTGGATGACCTTGTGGTCGTGACCGGCAAAGTTTGAACAATCGCACCCAAAAGCAGCGATACCAAAGAAGATTGGAGAATGAGAACCAGACTTGCCTTGAGCGTCAAAGTGATTCCGCTTAGTAGTAAGTCTCCGAGAGATAGTCTTGTCCCAAATACGGTTTTGCCATTTTACTTGTTTTACACTTAAAAGTATAAACAAAAATGTAAGTGTAAAATAATTAAATGTAATACCGTCAGCCATGATTTATATTTTATATTTACTTTGTAAAGTACTATATTATTTTTCCGACTTTCCAACGATTATCGACACTACTGTGTGCCGGAAATAGCCGTTCCCTAACGGGTACTTTACGCGGATTCGCGTTAGTGTGCCAGGCCTGGACTTTAAGCGTGCACCGAATTAAATAATGACAAAGTTTGTCAATAACAAAATCAAATATTTAATTAAACTTCTATTAATAAACTCTATACAGTATTTAGTAAAAATCAAACAATAATTTATTCAATGAAACTCAACAAGAATCAATCCGACAAACTCAAATCAATCTATTTCTAACTTAATTCTATTCCCCTTTGGAATTCGACAAAATCAAAGAATTAACTTATAAACAATAATTCTTATAAATTAAAGATCCTAATCGTCACCTCAATATACTAGGAACCTATTTCCTCAAACTCTCAAGACTTTCTATAATCGTCGATCCACAAATCGAATAACTTCAAAATCCTATCGGACACCTCTCTCGTTCACTGCTACGAAGCTCACCAAAGCTCGTTGCTATCAGGAATTCACCTCGTTCGTTTTCACTTGAGTTAGAGGCTTTATAGTGTGAGGTGACGTCACAATTCTGAATGAGCTCACTCTCCTCATTTACATACTTATCTGTAACATTAAATTTTTCTCGTTTATCTGGCAGATTATTTTCCGACAATACTTCGCTAACCTTTTACATTATTCTTTTTAACAATTATCGGGATGCTTTATTATTTTAAGGTTTAGCGATTCCTAACTGGGTTGTGGGGTCTTCCCCCCCCTTTTTCTCGGTGCGGACTTACTTTTTCCGCTTGGGAAGCGCAAGTGTGCGCGAGTTTTTCTACGGCGCTTTTCTTTCGTCGGTGAGTTGGTTTTTCTTCTATTTTTAAGTTACTAAGGTGAATGGTGAGGAAACCTTCGTCTTAACTAAACATAAGCCCCAAACAAAATATAATGAAAGCAAAATAAAAGTAAAATAAAAATAAAGCTCAGACTTGGTTCCTTACACCCCTTCCCCTTTAGATTAAAGAGAAATTTATTTCTCTTTTCATTTAAAGCCAAAAATCCTCCAACTCTTATCTCTTCTAAAGGAGTGCGCCTTAAATACAATTGCTGCCAGGTTTACAATTAAATACATCCCTTACAGTGATTTGACATAAGCGAGAGTGACTCGTTGCTTAATAAATTTATTTTAACTTAGTTATACAATTGGGGAAAATGTTGACATAGAATCACATACGAGTTCCAAGGCTTGTTGCCATTTTCACGCTCTTGTTTGGCGTGAACTGGGGTGAAGCGTTAACCCCAAAATTTTTCCTAACGATTTATTATCTTTCTTCACGCTACGGACTGATTGTCGGTTATAGTTTAGCATTGTTAATTGTTTTAGTGAATGGTTACCCCAGTCCGTTATCGTGAGAAAAATTTTTTTTTTTTTTTTAACTCCCCCCCGTTTAACCAAAATCCTTTCCCCTCTAGGGATCCTTGGATTACAATTAGTTTGGTCAAGGACCATCTGTAAAGAAAACTATATTCACCTATGGTTTCCTTCTCTATCTTTGAGCTCTCGGCTTCCTTGTGAGACCGGCGAGTTGTCTGTAATCCACTCGTTGTGTCGGTCGTAATCGTCGCTGGATGACTCCAGACGGTCTTGCTCCGGCGATGGACGGCGAGAATGTTCCGTGATCCATCGACGATCCCGTAACGGAGCGTGATCCTCTATCGTTGCCCCTATCGGTTTCGGGTAGGGGTGTAGTAGTTTTCCTCTTCGGAAAAAGTGTGTATCGCTTCAGATTAGCGATATGTTGACTTCCGTGGCTGGCCCCAGTGTGGGGATCTTTTATCTCGTAGACTACTGGCGAGATAATCTTAGCGATCTCGTAAGGTCCTGACCACTTAGGTGCCAATTTAGCGCTGAAGCGTCTTCTAGAAGAAGAAATAGGGTGAGCTTTTAAGACAACTAATGAACCCACCTTGAATGTATCTGGCCGCCTTCTTAAATTGTAAGCCCTTCTCTGTTTTTGTTGCGCAGTTCGCACGTTGTCTCGGGCTTGTTTTCTTATCTGCTGCAATTCTGCCCATTTTTCTCTAATAGTCGTAGGGCGACTTGGATAAGACGTCAGGCGGTCCCACGGGAGTGCAATCTCTCTCCCGAGATGTAGTTTAGCTGGCGTATACTTTGTCGAATCCTGTTCTGAAGTTCGTAATGCCAGCGCTAATTCTGATATATGGGTGTCCCATTCTTTATGGTTTCTTTCGATGTATGCCGCAATCATCCTACCCAAGGTGCGGTTCACTCTTTCCGTAAAATTCGACTGAGGATGATATGGCGTCGTCAGAATATGCTTAATTCCGGTGCGGTCACAAACTTCCGCTAGGAGGTGAGAAATGAATTGTGGCCCATTATCGGATATTAACGTTTTAGGCATGCCATACCTGCAAAAGTATTCTTTATACATACAATTTACAACATTTTCTGCGGTAATCTTCCGCAGGGGAAAAATTTCTACCCATTTACTGAAGTAATCAACCATAACAAGAAGATACTGATTACCTTTGTTGGACCTAGGATAGGGTCCCATAATATCTACGCCTACCTTTTCCCCTGGTTCCGTTACCTCGGGGACTTGCATTAGTCCGGCCGTTTTCTTCTGGTCGAACTTCGTTATCTGGCATGTATGGCATCCTAGTACATATTCTTTTATGTCCTTTCTCATTCCGGGCCAATAGCAACGTTGTTGTATTTTTTTCGTAGTCTTTCGTACACCTAAGTGGCCAGCAGTTGGATGATCGTGTAGTTCTTGTAATATATCCTTCCTTAAGTTGTAAGGAATCACTGGTCTGTAACCTCCAGTGTCGTCTGTTTTCCGGCTATAATACAAAACATCATTTACTAGCCGGTAATGGGATGACTTACCTACTAGTTCTGCCGACATGGCTGGGTCATTTGGTAAGTTCCCAGTCGCTAAGTAATCGTATAGTCCGCTCCACTCTGAATCAGTTCGTTGAGCGTCTATAAGGTCTTTCTCTCGTTCAAAGGTCGTTACCGCTAACAGTTTTGCGGCTATGTCCGATTCTTCACTTGGTTGTGGATCTTCCAATGGACGTCTAGATAAAGCGTCTGGCAATTGATTGTCCTTTCCACTTCTATGTTGAATTTGGAAACTAAATTCCTGTAATCTCAAAGCCCATCTCATTAACCTACCTGAGAGGGATGTAGAACTATTAAGCCATCGTAATGCAGAATGGTCCGTTACTACGGTGAATTCTGTTCCGTCTAGGTAAACTTTGAACTTTTCTATAGCCCATACAACGGCTAGACATTCAAGCTCCGTGGCCGTATAGTTTCTTTCGGCTGCGTTTAACGTACGGCTAGCGTATGCAATGACTTTTTCCTGGCACAGCACTGCTCCCAGTCCGACAGTGCTAGCGTCTGTGTATAACGTATAAGGCACACCTGGCCTAGGAAGCTGCAAAATAGGTGCAGTTATTAACTTACTTTTTAGCTTTTCAAAAGCTTGACGGCATTCTTCCGTCCACTCCCATCGCTTCCGTTTCCGCCGTAATTGATACAATGGTTCGGCGATAGTTGCGTAGTTAGGTATGAATCTACAGTACCAGCTGCACATTCCCAAAAAGGTGCTAAGATCCTTCGTATTTCTGGGCTTCGGAAACTCTCGAACTGCCC